TTGATGTAAATAAACAATCTGTTGTATACGCCACTTGGAACTCAAGTTTCAAGGACACTCTCACGACAACCCCTCCGCTTTAATATGACGAGCACAAAGAGAACTTTTAAAAAAATTTACGGGGACTGTTTCATTTTCAATGACTTGTTTAAAAACAATATTGTTGTGTGTACGTTAGTAGCCTTGTGGAAATCATACATCTTTTTTGTCAATGTAGACTGGCAATCTTATTTAGAAGATTTTGTAGAAAATGAGAACGCATTATGACTTGTTAGCTGGGAATGGCATCTTGAAATCCCAACTTTAATCAATTGTAAATTAGTATGGTTTCTCATCAGCATATTGAATCAAAGGATTATTCAATGTTATTCCACAAGAAAATACATGAAAAGAGATAAAAACCATGATAAAACCTGCTGTTACCGAAAGTTACCATATGTATACGTTGTGTTCATCATCTTGATAATTGTGCATAACAGTTGATATTGTGTAATGATCACCGTTTTGACTATCGTCAGGAAATTTTAATTTTTGACTCCCGTGTGCGAAGCACACAATGGGAGTCTTTGCAGTTAGTGTGTCTGTATGTATGTATGTAGGTGTTTGTGTGTGTGTGTATGTGTATGTCTGTCCGTTCCACTGATATCTCACGAACCGTACATTGATTTTTGGATGAAACTTGGTACATAGATGCTCTGGGCCAATGTGCAGATTTGATTAGGTTTTGGTAAAAATCCATTTATATTAATTACCTAATTTGCATAATGATTAATCAATTTTCGGCTTTTCCACTGATATCTCAATTAGTAATCATCACATTTCAATCAAACTTGGTACATAGATGTCATAGGACACTGCACAGACCTGATAGTTTTTAGGGTAATATCAGTACACATTAATTACCTAATTTGCATAATTAATTAATTTACAGCTTTTAATATTTCAATATTTAATATTTCATGAACTAATTAAATATTTGTACATATTAAGGTAGCGAGAAGGGAAATTTTCACTTTTTTCTTGATTTTTCAAAAATTGATAAAACGGTTACTTTAGACCTTGATACATCACCCCAGGTTTACAAAAGATCGAAATTGCGAAATAACGTTGCTCAAATTAGTGTTTTAAAACACTAGCAGAAAAGACTACAACTGCCGTTTCGTGGATATTTGCATAGTGTTTATCTTTGGAAGGAATTAAATGATAAAATCTTATCTGTATACTCTGTTGTTGACGATTCTGATATAACGGGTGATAAGCTTCCAGTTGCAAACAATGCGTGTTTATCTAACGTCCATTGTCAGCATTATTGTCAGTCGAGACTTCGTCGGAGAAACATGGTCATACAGTACTCATTTCGCCCAACCTTCCGCTTTTACATCGACCGCTTAT